GAGGAGTTGTTGACTGTCTTGGTGCTAGGAATGGAAAAAGTACAAGTTTCTGAGGCCCGTCCACCATTAATTTACACTATAGAAGCATTTTGCTCTTTTTTAGAATTTCCTTTAATATATTACTACAGTACAAAGCATATGTAATACATTATATTATTTTGATACATATTGGCTAAAGATTATTAAAACTCTCATGTCTATATAATCTAAACCTTTACAGATAGAAAAGCGTAGTATATCAGTGTTAACCATGATCAGAAATGCCAATGTTTAATATTAGATCGTTTAGATTTTATATCCATAGTTGAATATAACATTAATTAAAAGGTGCAAATTACATCAAAATATTTGTTGTACAGAACAATAAAGGTTTCTGTTTTAGGTGGAATATTAAATACTAAGATTCTCACTGTATTGTTACTTACTATTCTTTGAGCATTTGCCAAGGGTTTTGCACGAATGATGTCAGCACTTTGCAACTCCTCTGTGTTGGGGATACAGCACTCTGGACTTCTACTATACTTAGTCTGATCTTCACTCAGCTGATGAGATTAGTAAATTCTGAAACTTACCATTATCATTGACAAATCTTACCATAGACACAGTTCTGTTCCTGCTGCAGACCTTCTCCTCTGCCTTTCAATATTCTTAGCATCTTCTTAGGGTCCCTTTCTTCTTTCTCCCCTCAGACCCTCTTTCTCAGCTTTTCTTTTTCCTGTTTTTCTTCCATTGCAACCTTGTTGCATACGGTTGTCCTATTTTGTCCTATTTCGTCAGTGTTCTAGTGGCTACAGGCAAGATGAATGGATTCCTTCTCTGGCTTTGCTGTCATGCCCATTCCACCATCTGTAGCCAGCAGGGAAACATCCAGTAATTAGGGCACTGTACCAGGAAACAATGGGCCTCACTTTAGGACTTTAGGCTGGTCAATCTACCAACCTGCACCCCATTTGAAGAGTTGCTAAGTTAAAATAATATGAAATAAGTGAAAGAGAAAACCTCAACATGGAAATCATGCCAAACCAATCTTACTCCATTCTTTGACAAAGTGACTAAATTAGAAGACCAGCAAAATGCCATGGGCATTGTATACTTAGACTTCAGCAAGGCATTCGACAAAGTAGACCACAAAAAAGTGGGATAGATAGCATCCCCATCAGATGTATTTGTAACTGGCTGACAAATCATACTCTACGAGTAGTCCTTAATGGTACTACATCTACATGGAGGGAAGTAAGCAATGGGGTACCACAAAGTTCTTAGCATCAGTACTCTTTAATATTTTCATAAATGACTTAGATGAAGGAATAGAAGGGGAACTCATCAAATTTGCAGATGATACTAAGCTGGCAGGAATAGTCAACACCCTAGATGATAGGCTCAAGATTCAAATGAATCTCAACAGACTTGAACACTGAACCCTATCTAACAAAATGAAATTCAATGTAGAGAAAAGTAAAATCTTACACAGGCAAGAAAAACTAAAGTACGCATACAGATTAGGCAAACCCTGCCTTAATAGCAGTAACTGTGAGGGGGACTTGGAGTCCTAGTGAACAATCAATTAAATATCAGCCAGCAGTATGTGATGGCAGCCAGAAAAGCCAATGCAATCCTAAATTGCATTAACAGAGGGATTGAATCAAGATCATGTGAGGTACTAATACCACTCTATAAAGCCTTAGTAAGATGACACCTAGAATACTGCATCCAGTTTTGGTCACCACACCATAAAAAAGATGTTGAGACTCTAGAAAGAATGCAAAGAAGAGCAACAAAGATGATTAGGGGGCTGGAGGCTAAAACATATGAAAAATGGTTGCAAGAATGGGCATGGCTAGTCTACTGAAGAGAATGACCAAGGGTGACATGATAACAGTGTTCCCATATTTGAGGAGCCTTCACAGAGAGGAGGGAGTCAACCTATTTTTTCCAAAGCACCCAAAGGCCAAACAAGGAACAATAGATGGAAACTAATCCAGGAGAGTTTAAACCTAGAAATAAGGAGAAATTTTCTAACAGTGAGAACAATTAACCAATGGAACAGCTTGCCTTCAGAAGTTGTGGGTGCTTCATCACTGGAAGCTTTCAAGAAGAGACTGGATAGCAACTTGTCAGAAATGGTATAGGGTCTCCTGCTTGAGCAAGGGGATGGGCTAGATGATCCACAACAGGGGTGTCAAACTCATGTCATCATGGCATCAACAAGTGATGTATCGGGACTTTTTTCCCCTTCACTAAACTAGCCGTGGGCGTGGTCAGCATGTAACACATCCAGCTCATGGGCCGGGAGTTTGACAGCCCTGACCTACAACGTCCCTTCCAACTTTGTTATTCTGTAAATAACCCCACAGAGAAGGAGGTTACAGATGCCAATGACTGTAGTCTGAATAGGTTCTGTATAGTTGGATAACAGAAACTGACCAAGTGCCAGGGAACTTAGTGGATTGGGAAATGCTGGCAAATAAGCAGGAAAAGCCCATTTCCTCCTTATGGTACACTTTTAAACAAGGCATAGAACAAACAACCAATTTACAATAAGCAAAACATCAAAATATTGGAGGCAGCCCATAATTCAAATGGTCATACAATGAAATTCTAAAAACAAACATTGCCAGCTAATTAAACTAACCATTTTACAATAATTGAATCAGTGAAGCCAATTAAACATGTAACCCCATCCCCTACTAAAATACCAATAAAAGGATTCAATTAAATAAAGAATCCATAAACAACCAAAGATGGAGGCATTATTTTCCAGGCACTGCAATGAATTAAAGCAAGACACATTTTGGACTCATATTAAAGCTGTTTAGGAAGAAGATATGAGGATAATGTTCTATGGGCCAAGGACAAAAATAGGTATTGTAGGACAAAAGCCTGCCATAGTAAATAGAACTGGAGACATAGTCTTAATCTTCCCTGGAAGAATTCTGTTCTGTTCAGATGGCAGAAGACTAACGAATTGTTTCTTGCAGAAATATTATATTATATTATATTATGCAATTTATGCAGCCCAAAATCTAGAATGGTCATTTCAAAAGATCTTTGACTTACTTTGCTTCTCTTCTCTTTAATCTGAGTAATGAAATTAAATAAAATAGCTGTGTTGGGGTGCATGCCCCAGCATACGTGTATGTTATCATCTATTACCGAAATGAAAATTTAACCAAGAGAATGGCATTTCCTTTCCCAATAAAGAGATAACCAGAAAACATATTATGCCTTTTTGCTGAAACCCCATTTTCATCACTTCATTGGGTGATGAATGTTTTCATTTCTTAGTTTACAAGGCACTGCACAATATGGGCTTTTTCACAACTCAGTACATTTTTCCCCCATGAAGAGGAAACAGGATAGATATTTGAGAAATATGGTCCAATTTGATTGGTGCTGGTAGCATTCTTTTTATAACATAATTTCCCAGGCAGGCTGGCTTACTTCATTTATTTATGATTACTGATTTGCAGATCATGGTATGTTGGTAATCATGTTGCATATATAATTTTTCCTTCTGTTAATTTGCTTGATATAATAAAAATTAAAAAAAAGGAAAAGGAAAAGGAAGAGAGAATAGAATGAATATAAAAGTTGGGTGTTAATCACGTGAACAAAGAAGAATAGTGTATAAAGATATTTGGGTTTTTATTTTTTGCTGATTAAGAGGTATTTCCTGTAGTTCTAGTTTAAACACTTTCATCTAAACTAAATGGTTCAAAATAAATCTCTTTGTCTGGACATTATAAGAGCATAAACCGTTTTTTTTCTAGATGAAACTATTCATTTCTCAAGTTCAAGTTAGGATACTGGACTCTCCTTCGTTGGAGTTGTTTAAATTAAAGTTCATATGATTAATAGTCAGAGATGCTATATTAACAGACTCTTACAGTGGGTATAGAGGTGATTAAATTGATTGGATTTTTATGACTGCCCAACTCTGCAGAGGCTGTGGGTGCTTTACAATGTATGAAATACATAATTAAAAACCCTGTTAAAAACATACCCCATGGACAAAACAACAATGACATTCAAAAAGACTCCATAAACACCCCTACACAAGGCTGGGCCAAGTCCAGGTCCTAAGAGCATTCTGGAGAGTAGATTATATACTGTACATGATGTATTAAGAGGTTGGGATTTCCTTATCATTAAGAGACATTTCTACTGCATTGTCGATAGAAATGTTTTGTGTGTACTGTACATTGGATTATTTCAGATCAGAAGTGAACAAAAGTAAATTCATGCATCTTCTGAATTGGTCTAATGCAGAAATTGCCCAAATGTTTAGTTATGGTAAATAATACATAACAATTTATTTATTTATTTTTATTTTTAAATATTTTCAACTTCAGATTTTATAAACACTTAATCACTACTTGAGGATAAATGAAAGAAAATGGGTGTGTAATTCTTTCTCTCCTTCCCCCAAAGTTCAGTGGTGAATGTTGGTAGATGGAGTGTGGAGTCTCATTCTTCAAATGAAAATGTCAGATAATCAGATAACAATAATCAGATCATCAGATAAACAAAACAAAACCATTGTATCCATTGGCCTCTGCTATTTATGTATGCATATTTAAGAGCAGTACAACAAATGTTAGGCAAGAAGATGAGTTGATTCCCTGGAATATTTTCCCCCTGCTGGCTCAGGGAAAACTTTTGTTGACCTTGTGATTTGAAGCTGAAGCGGAATAAGGTTCTTTTGGCTTAACGAAGTTTTTGGACTCAGTTCGTTCTTTTTCTACAATCGTTAAACTGTTTCCTGGAAGGAAAGCCTCGTTTTCACGGGACCTGCTTGTCTGGGGGAGAAAAGCCTGGATAGAATTGAGCATTTCAATCGTAAAGGTCCCCGTAATTTGCGTGCGAGGATTGCTTTGCGGAGACACCTCAGCGCTAAAAAAGAGCAACGGTTCCAGCCCGTAACAATACTTACCTAAGCTGATTGACGGCACCGGCCTGCATGAGCATGACGTCATGGTGCAAGGCCATGATGTCATGGTGCAGAGTGCGGGCTACTTACTCACTCGCATCGTACGCGCCGTTTGCTGACCCGCCTGTTCTTGCGAGGGACTGCCGAGAGCAGAGACTGGTCCTCTGCCCGAACTCCGTTCTCCTCCCACTTCCCTTGGCTGTCAGGGCAGAGACCCCTCGGCTTTATTGAGGGGACTGCTGGTGCCAGAGGGCGCTGAGATCGCAGTAGCAGCAGCAGCAGCAGCAGCGAGCAAGCAGCGCTGTGGGAGGAGTTTGTGGTTCAGGGCGGATCCCGCAGAGCGGCTCCTGGTTGCTGGCCGGCTTAGGAGAAAGAGAAAGAAAGAGGCTGGCCGAGCAGCTGGGCGTCCTTGGTGCTGGCACCGCCGCCCGAGCATGAGGATGGCTGTCGGCGCAGCAGCGGCTCCAGGAGACGGGGGCTCGCCGAATCCCGGTCCCGCTGCGGTCTCTCTGGGCTTGAGCGTGGCTGTGGTGTCCAGCCTGGTCAATGGCTCCACGTTCGTGCTGCAGAAAAAAGGAATCGTGCGGGCGAGAGGACGAGGTAGGGCCCCCCTGGTCCCCGTCCCTTCCTATGCTTCGGGTTGCAGCAGAAACGCTCTGGTGTCTTTTGCAACAGCTAGCATCCTCTGCGTGATCTCCTCCCACTTGGCCGAGCCCACCCCGGCTTTCGTACGCCGCCTTTCCCGGAACTCCTGCTTCCCTGGCACGGAGGTCACCCACCGGGAGCGATTAATCGAAAATATTTTGCAAACCCAGGCCTCGCGACTGCCTTCCCTTGATCAACACAGTGCCTCCAGAGGTGTCGGACTACAACCCCCAGAATTCCCAGTCCTGGCGCTAAATTGGGGAAGCCTGCTTGAAAAGAAGATTGCTTCGTTCCAAGGCATTAGCTTTGGCTTTAGGCAGTATCAGAGCTAAGTATTTAGCCTGTTCACTGCGAATACACCTTGCATTCCTTCTCCGGGTTGGGTCAGGGGCACAATCACCATGAAGGCTAACCCTTCTCAGCTCTCCAATCCAGCCACTCCCCCTCCTGTATTATTTTCTTCTTCAAGTTTGTAATGATACCTGTACTTTTTCAAAAGTCCGTGCTTTTATACCTGCATGATGAGTCGTAGGCATTTGATTTGCAAAAGGATTATAAGTGAGCCATGAACGGCTGAATAAAATCTCCCATGTCAGGGACCAGGGGTTCAGACAGCCTTTCCAAGATTTCAAATGTGATTGGTCCCTTATTCCAGCAGATGCTTTAGCATATTATCGATTCAGTTTAAGTTTGTACTTTACATTTATAATCTGAATTTATGTTTTTTTTAAAAAAGAAATTAACACCGAAGGGATTCTTATAGAATCACTGAGTTTGGACAAGACCACCAATGTTTCTCAAACTAGGCAACTTTTAAGACTGACTTCAACTACCAGAATTCCCCAATAGCAACAGCTCTCAACCATGCTGGCTGGGGAATTCTGGCAGTTGAAATCCACATATTTTTAAATTGCCAAGTTTGAAAAACATTGATTTAGAATGTCAGATCTAATCCATTCAGGAATCCCAAAGAAAACAGGCTAGGCAGAAGAAGCTGGGTAGCTTCTGTGTGAATACATCCAATGGAGACCTACCACCTCTCTAGAATAATTGATTCCACTTTCACATTGCACATGCTGTGAAGACATTTGCCTGGATTCTGTCTTCCTGTAATTTAAACTATGTTTATAATCTGGATTCTTATAAAGCAATAGACAACAAGGATGATATATCATATCATAATGCATTATGTAGATCTGATCATAGTTTCAGAAATGGTTTGCTAAGTGGCACATAGAGGACTTTGTATTAGCAAAATACACATCATCCATTACTTCCAAAGGGCTATAGCCGTTCGCACTGTTCTTTGATCTTTGGTAATGATCATTATGTATCCTCAATATAGCAAACATGCAGGCTCCCAAATTCACATTTAACTGTATTTCTGTTAATGGACCGTTTTTTACAGGAAGCACATTCACTGAGAAAGGACTATATATTCTTGCAGGAATGCCTAAAATTAAGAGCAGCTATATTCTGAAAAATGATACAGGCAGAAAGGTGATACTGACATTTCTAATAATCTCTTGCATACCAAACTGGTCTTTGGGGGAATACTTGTATTTTAGTCTGTTCCCAATTCTGTTACAAGGCCATTAAGCTCTGCATTCCAGAGCAGTCTTATTCTATAGTAAACTCTACTGTATTGAGTATTTCTGTGATCCCCCTATTGGCTCTACCTAGATAGGCACAGTACCAAAATATTAATCTCTAAAATCCAGCTATTTGATTGTTTGAATTCAATAAATAAAATATTCAAACATCAAAGTAAATATTAATTTATTTTGACAGGTTTCTTTTCAAATTAGAGAGTAACTTGTACGGGTAGTCCTCAATTTACAACAGTTCATTTAGTGACCGTTCAAAGTTACAACGACACTGAAAAAAGGGAATTATGACCATTTTTCACACTTAAGACCCCATGGGCACATGAGCATCCCCATGGGCACATAATTCACATTCGGATGCTTGACAACTGAATCATATTTATGACCGTTGCAGTGTCACAAGGTCTTGTGACCTTCTGACAAACAAAGTCAATGGGAAACCAGATTCACTTAACAACCATGTTACTAATTCAACAACTGCAGTGATTCACTTAACAAATGTGGCAAAAGAAGTTGTAAAATGGGGCAAAACTCACTTAACAAATTCCTCACTTAATAATTTTGGGCCCCTTTGTGGTTGTAAATTGAGGACTACCTGTATTCAAGGTAACTTAAGTATCTTAATAATTTTTGTCAATCATTAATTCATATAATTAATTCAACTGCATTACCAGTTTTATTTACTGGTAGACTTAGCGGATAATCACTATGCAATGTACTTGTTCCATTCTGGAGAAAGTGAGAACTAGTATAGAACTATTCCCATGCTTGCAGAAGAAACTGCAAATATAAATTAATTTGCTTGTGAATACAGACTTTTTTGCATTGCATTACTTGAGAAATGTAGTTGGAAACCCACTGAAATGATGATTCATGATCCAATGTAGCAAGAATATATATTTAGGTATTTATTGTATTAGGAACTGGAAAATCCAAGTACAAATCTACAGTAGATTTATTCTACTTTATAGTAGATTTATGCTCCTGGGAAGAATAATGAAATTAAAGAGTAATTAAACTGAGAAATATTATCCACTTTGTTTGGACAAGAATATGGTGTAATATACTCTACTTAATCTATGCCTACCACATGGACTACATCGTGGCTTGTGTACTCTTGATATCCCACATATACAGGACCTTGATTATGTATTGGCAGGGGAAGCTATAACATTTTACATACTCAGTAATTTTTAAGTTCTCAAAAATAAACCTTATATACTGACTTGATTGACATAATATTTGAAGCCATGGTTTGGTTTAATTACTGACTTCTCATAAACTATAGATTAAATTGTGGTCAACGAAGAGTCTTAGCTACTAGTTATGTGATCTAAACAACTTTTAACCACATCCAGCATTCAATCTAAACCCATTTTAGCTTATCTTGCAGTTAAGCAATTATATGACTCTTCCAGGAAAATGAGATGGGATAGAAGAGCAATGTCAAATTATAACCATATATGTAACAGCATTTCTGTTGTCAGTGCTTTGTTAACTCTTGCTGACGTATGTGTTCTTTCCACAAAATTAATTAATGGCATTATATACAGATAGAATATCAAACACACTGGGCAATATAAAGTTGTAATTGATTTGTTTTCAAATTTTATCCTTGAAAATCTCCCCCTTTCATAATTGAGATATAGGAATAACTCAATTAGCATAGAAATATCACATAGCAATTTAAAAATAGAAAACTATGTATTGTTTGTAAAAGAAAAGATCTCTTTGTTTATTTGCTTCAGGAATTCATTTTACTTGATTTGTACAAGCAGCTAATTATTTGGAGCTCATCCTGACCAGCTGACAGTATTTTGTACTTGTCTAGCATGTCTAGTTTGCATTTTCCACAGTCACTTGTCATAAATTCATGTTCCACTTTTGCTCTGTGTAAACAATTTGAAACAAAAAAGTAAAACTGGGTTTTTAAAGAGCCTATTTGGTTCACTTGTCATTGTTTTTGTTTTCTTTTAAAGATTATGAAAGTAATAAATGATATCAGTTTTTGTCAGGCTTTTTAACAAAAAGAAATATAATTTGGGGATTAGGAAGAACATAAGAACCTACTGGATTGAAATTTAACCCAGCATTTTGTTTATCATAATGGCCAATCAAGTTCCTCTGGACTTTGTAAGCAGAACATGGAAACACCCATTCTCTCACTGTTATTACCTTGCATTTGGAATGCAGAGAGGCAGGGTCCCTCAAACTCATAATAAACATTGAGTCTTCAAGACTTAATAGATACAATGTCTTTAGTCCATACATGTCTTTAGTTTTCTTTTAAACCCAGTCAAGTCAATGGAAATCTATGTAATACATTATTCAGGTTAATCATCCAATAAGTGAACAAATATATTCTACTGTATGTTTTAACTCCATTGATTGGATGATTTCTTGTCCTATTGTCTTGATAGAGGGGGAAAAACAGATTAGACCAACATTAACAATGTCAATTTTACAAAGAAAGGTTAACCATTCACATTCATGCAGTCAGAACTGATGAAGCTTCTTGGATGAGAAGCAAAACATCATCATCATCTTCAAGGGGCAAAAAAACATAATCCAATTGCTTTTAGTTCACATTGTGCTTCATGTTTTTCCTTACTGAATACTTACAATTTGCTATTTTTACTGCTAAAATACTGAAACCCTAAACAGTGCAAATTTTGGATAAAAGATGGAAGTTGGGTTCTGATTAGGTAGTACTGAATTGGCAATAATTGTTTGTGCTTTCCAAAATACCTTCCAGTGTTTTCTGTACTATAGTAGATTGAGGCACAAAATGGCAGTTAGGCAGGTGTGCACTGTGCTTGTAGAAGCTTTATCTCCATTATCGGTTTTATTAATTTCCTGTAGAAGATGAGAACAGATTACCTCTTGAAAAGGCCTACAAGATTACAAAAAATATTTCAAATCTTAGAAACAAGTGTAATGGTTATGTTACATTCTACAAGAAATAGAATATCTATGCATTTTTAAACAGTTCAAATTCAGCTTTTGCATAAACATTGAAGGTATGGGTAAATATATGTCTCATTTGATGAGCCTCAATAGTGACGCTCAATTTCAAAAACTATTTTGTGGTTTTGAAAATATTTTAATCCCAATAATTTGATTTAGGGCAAGGATGAACCATGTGCATATCTATTTTCTTAAGAGTTGGATTATTAATAACCACACCAGGGACATGATTGATTATCTTCACTGGAAGCAAACTATAAAAAGTAATACTGATTATGGTTACACTCATGGTTATACAAGATTTGGATTGGTTCATGCACCCTAGTTAAATAATTCTGTATGGCGGTGTAGTGGTAAAGTTAACATGTTGTTGAAGTTATAGAAAATTGTACCTATAAAATACATATTATTTAATCTGATGATCCAATTTTTGATTTTTCACCTATCCAGGGACTTCGTATTTAACTGATATAGTGTGGTGGTCAGGTACTATTGCAAGTAAGTATATCTTCTATATTTGAACAATTTTACATCTTAAAACCACACTGAAGGATTGTACTGGTCTATCCAGATGTGTTAGATAACAATTCTTATACATATGATCAGCAGTGATGATCATAACTCTGACCTAATATGTCTATCTAAAGGAAAGCTGCTGACATGCTCAGTCTAGCATATTTTGATATAAGGATACTGTTTCATTGGTATTTTTCATATTTTTATTGTTGGCAGCATATTCATTCATTTCACAAACAGGATATGGTAGCTTTGGCTAAACTGTATATCCCTCTCAGGCAACATAATTTAAATATAAAATTGTTTTTATCCAGGGGAACATCTACGGGGAGAGTCAAAATCTATATGATTTGCCATCCAGCTATATTGGGTGATAATTGCGGGAAATAATTCATATCAAAATCACATCTGGAGGAACCAGACTAGAGAAAGTTGAATCAGAATGTATCTAAAACCATCTTGTTAGACACAAAAATGTATGGGCAATGCATAGATTATTTTTCTTAACAGTTACAGTTTTGCAGTCACATTTTCTGAATAAAAAAGTTGTTTCACTGAAGTTAAACTCAAATTCTTTTATGAATTTGTCCATGTAGTTTATTAAGCAGCAAGATCAGAACTGATTTTCCAGTGCTTTTTTTCTAAAATACCATTTTGACTTCTGGTCTAATTAACAGCCTTGAGATTTTGTGGTTTCTCCCATGGAAGTACTAATCAAGACTATTTCTGCTATCTTTTTAAAAATTAGCCAAGTTTATTTAAATGCTGTCATCTGGAAATAAACTGGTGAAAACAACAACAGCAACAAAAAACCTAAACATGACGGGGGGAACAATTTAGATTGCTATAATTCTTTTGTTTGGATGATGATAATATAATCCTATGTAAACATAGATCAATTTGTTGACCTACAGATATACTGTAATTTCAAATTTTCCAATCAGGGTTGCCTTGCAGGCTTGGAGTGCCCAAAAAGTGTAATTCACACACTCCTGGAAAGCACCAACTTGGAAAAGGCTGACATAAGGTGCTAGAAAATGGAACCTTCAGCTAGCATAAAACGTATTGAGAATATATCAAAATACTTTATACCAATGCAGAGTAGGACTCATCTTACTTCAATATCATCTACACTGCTAGTGTTCAGGATTATTTACCAGGAGAAGGCATCATATTTGCATCCATAACCATAAAATATAAAATCAAAATATATATCCAAAGTAAACAAGTTAGTGAAGTCTAAGACTAGTCAATGTGATTTTGTGGAAAGATGAAACTAGTAACCATTGGCATCTGCGGAATGGCACATGATGTCAATACATTATGACATCATTGCACAAATGGCAGGAATAAAATGCTGTATGTCATGTGCATCATGATGAGACTGGTGCAAAATACCTAAATCCATGCTTTTTGCATGCCTGAACTCATAGCCCAGAAAGTGTTCCATCTTGTTCTACTGATATCAAACTTGATGTTGCTCATATGTAAAGTGCAGTGTCCTAACATTTTCATTTCCCCATTGTCGCTCTGGTTTATCAAGGTTTCAAAATAAGCTGCCAGAAGCAAAATCAGAGTGCTCTAGACACAGCACTGTTGCTTCTGAGTTATAGAGCTGTGGATGCTCAACTTTTCCCTTCTCAAGATCCAAATTTAATGGATCATTAGCCAGCTATACTCAGCAATTGTCAAGGTTTTTTTGGGGGGTGGGGGAGTTAATATAGTGTTGTGGTTTAGATATAGAAATATGATTATGGCTTTAATGACAGTGCCATCATTCTTGTTACTTCTTTAAGGGTAAAAGAAAAAATACCTCCTTACTATTTACTAGCTTGTTCCTGCCCATGAATATAAAGGACAATCATACTAATTAATTAAAATGCAGCCAGAGAAACACACAGCAGGTGAAAGTAGGAAGGAAATCATAAAAAATAAAACTGCCAAGCAGTGAGGTAATAAAGCAATAAAACACCGAAACCCTGCAGTCTAAATCAGTTGTTCCAAAAATAATAAAATGTTTTGTTTTGTTTTCTGTTCACATATTTGGGTTTTTTTCCCCCTCAGTGGCGCTTGGCCAGATTGGGAATTTCTTAGCTTATACTGCAGTTCCTACTGTTCTGGTGACTCCACTTGGAGCTCTTGGAGTCCCATTCGGGTAAGGATTTTTTCTATTCTGCCTTTTTCCCCCCTTCTTCAAATCAGACTATCCATCTGACTACCTATCTTCTACACAACTATGTTAATTTTTTTGCAATTTTTTTTTTTTACTAGTAGTGCCAAAAGTATTAATTTTTTTTCATTGTCCTAGTAATTTGCATTAAAAAATAACCTAGGTTTTTTCTCTTACCTTCCCTTTTGATTCTTATTTTAAGGAAAAATAGTTTTTTTAGATTTCTTTCTGTCCTCTGAAATGTACAGATGCTTTTATTTATTTTTCAAAGAAAGCCATTTTCAAAGGTTTAGTGTGAACATAGACTTATGTTTAATGCCCAAGTACTGAAATGTAAAATGTGTAAACCTCTCAACTACTCAAATATAATGTCCTTGGATTCTCAGAGATCCTGGCTAAATGAGGTGCATCCTTTAAATTTTTCAGTTAGTTAACTGGCTGTCTTGATGTTATTTCATGCTGTGGAATTGTATCCAGGACTAAAATCTGATTCAATCTCCAGCAAGTTACAGAAAGAAGACAGAGTGATACTTCTAGGACTTTGCCTCAGATAGCTATTCTTTCTCAAATAAATATTTAAGTTAACGTCCAGATATTATATTCCTTTTTGGACATTTTTGCTACAAATGGCACTGTCTTCTCTCTATCCAGAGAATCATGAAGTGAACCTCAAGGGCAGATGGTGTCTTTAAAAAAGGTTTTACATCTCTGATGCTGCATAAACATGTTGGATCTGTTAAGAAAACATATCCTGTATCAGCAGCTGCAAGAAATGTTCTGATACTTTAAAAAAAATGCCACATGTAATTTGCAGGAGAGATCCGGTCAGAATATTTTTCATTGATACAAATTGCATCAGGGAAGCACTCCTTTCCTATCTTGCATTCCCACTTGCCAGACCAAACTCAAGTGTTGAAATATATCCCACATTGCTAGCTGGGGAAATCTGGGAGTTGAAGGCCACATATCTTAAAATTGCTAAAGCTGAGAAACACTAGTTTAAACCAACAAAGAAAAGTAACAAAGACTGTTGAATAATTTCTTAACCTTCAGCAGGGACATCCACAAGTGTAATCAAACTGTGAAGAAACTGACCATAATTAAATGATCTATCTTTATGTGCATCATGAAAAAAAGGTTAGGATTTCCATCACATAGTTGACACTTTGATTTTTGGAAGTCTCCTTTGTGGAGACAGCACAGACCACCTGATTCAATTTTTCTCTCTGACCCTCTCTTTCTCAGGTCCATTTTAGCTTCCTATCTACTGAAAGAAAAACTGAACATTTTGGGCAAATTGGGCTGCCTCCTGAGTTGCGCAGGTTCTGTTGTTCTCATCATTCATTCTCCAAAGTCTGAAAGTGTCACCACTCAGGCTGAGCTTGAAGAAAAGCTTACAAATCCAGGTATTTAATTCTTTGGGTTAACCATGTAGATAAGTAAATCTGAGTCACAAGACAAAAATGTAAGCCGCCCTGAGTCTCCGGAGAAGGGCGGCATATAAATCAGATTAAAAAAAAAAAAAAAAGAAGCGTAAATTGCTCCAACATATAATGTTGGCTTACTTTGTATTTCCTGCCAAAGAACTTTTTGTTGCCAAAGGAATGCATCAGTTTTTTCCTCCTCTTTGATTTTTAATTATGAACCTCATTTGCTCCAGTCCAAAGCATAACTACCTTTTTTTTTTTTTACTACTGTTGGGAAATAAATTAGACTTACAAGTTTTCCAATAGCTACAGTATAAGGCAAGAATAACATAAAAATAAAAAATAAAATTTAAAGAAAAAATTACTTAAGCTTAAAATAAGCTTATTTTCCTATCTGGTAAAGATTTTTATATAATTCATTAAATAATAAAGATTGAAATTAATTGTACTTCTGTATAATTTCAGTCAATGGAATTTAAGCAGTTTTATTACTTGGGGTTACAAATAAGTACTATAAATTTATAAATTCAACCGAGGAAGGCTGGGAATTAAAATAATAATGAATTTGGATGTAAAATTATTGTTAGAATTCATAAAATAAAGGAGAATGTATTTTCTTGTAATTATTTCAGTGTACTTTATACAGAAAAGGAAACAATCCACTGGCCTCTTCCAATTGTGTTTGGGATTACAGCTCCCCAGATTCTTAGCCAAAGACCATGATAGCTGGAAATTCTGGAAATTGTACCTCCAAATTGGGAAAGATCTAAGTACAACATAGTTGATTCAGTGGTGAGCAAACCACTGACTGCTTCCAAGAATAATTAATTCCATGATTAATAAGCTGTTTGTGATTATCAAAGAACGATAATGCAATTCATAATAATGGACTATAGTTTTGTCTCCCTGAAGAAATTAAAAAATAAAATGATGATCTTATGTTTTCAAACAATTTCTAGACGAAGGAGGAGATAAAGATCACAAAATTACATTGCTTAAATATGCCTGAAGACTGATTGGCCAATGATAAATAACATGGAAGATAATTTAAATATGCTCTGCAGTATTCAAGTTACATATAAACAGAAATACGCATTTCAAAAAAACATTTTTCTGAATCAAAAACATAATTTGCCATGATAAATTAAATAACAGACTATCAAAAGCAGGAGCACAATTTAGGATTACATACTATGGTTTGATTCAGATGGAAAACAAGAACTTAAGAAAAGGAATGAGTATTCGCAGAAAACCTCACAGTACTTCCAAATGTAGTCTTTCCAAACATGTTAGTGTATATTGATATGTTAGCTAAAAGATAAAGGGCATTGCAATCTAAAAACCATTAAGATAGATAGAATTCTTGATTGGACACACAAGGAATTTGTCTCTAGTGCATAAGCTCTCAGTGTACATACAAGCAACAAGTGATAAAACATGATCATAATCATAAAATACAATAATCATAAATCATACAACACTCAGTGATAGTTATAGGATACTAAATAATCAACATAAATCATAATAGGATACTAAATAAAAGCAGTCAACAATAAATCATGAGATACAAACAAGGTTATGGCTATAAGAAGCTAAGGAAATAGGTGATAGGAAAGATGAGAAGGATAATAGTAATAGTAATACAGCCCTACTAGGTGGTTGATGATGAAGTTTATTGCAAAATATAATTTGGAAAATTATCTAGCTAAAGCCAGTGTGAGTTAATGTCAGTGTATAAATGATGTGCAGTATGGAGTGTGATTTCTAGCATTTTGGGTATATATCATATATTATAGAATTGTTTTCAAGAAATATCATTTGGTTGAGCTTAATTATGCTATTATATTCTCTTTGTTTTTCAGTATTCGTGGGTTACCTCTGTATTGTGCTTCTCATGCTGCTTCTACTTATCTTTTGGATTGCACCAGCCCATGGACCAACTAACATTATGGTTTACATCAGTATTTGTTCATTGTTAGGAAGTTTCACTGTGCCTAGTACAAAAGGAATTGGACTGGCTGCTCAAGATATCTTTCACAATAATCCATCAAGTCAAAGAGCATTGTATCTCTGTTTGGTTCTGTTAGCAGTACTGGGGTGTAGTATAATAATTCAGTTTAGGTACATCAATAAGGCACTAGAATGTTTTGATTCCTCAGTGTTTGGTGCCATCTATTATGTAGTATTCACCACTCTTGTCTTGCTGGCCTCAGCCATTTTGTTCAGAGAATGGAGTAATGTTGGTGTTGTTGACTTCTTGGGAATGGCTTGTGGGTTCACCACTGTATCTATTGGAATTGTTCTTATACAAGTCTTCAAAGAATTCAATTTCAATATTGGTGATTTGAATAAGCCTAATATGAAGACCGATTAAATTCTTAATGTTCAAGGGAATTGGGTAATCCAGAGAATGATGATGTCTTCAATTTTTAGGCCACAGAAATGATAGCCTTTAATTTCTAAACTTTAAATAACACCGCCTTTCATTCCTTGCTGGAATATGTGAAATGAATTAGTGTTCTTAAATCAATTTCTTAGGACTATTGTCATGCTTTGTATCTTATGGTATCAAATGATTTTATAAACCTCATAGCAAGTAGGACAAGAATTGCATCACCACAGAAGCTGATGTATTTCTTTATCCTTAAAGATTATCTATGTAGTGTAGGATTGAATTATTTTGGTCTATGAAGAACCAGGAATCTTTTCAAATGATTACCCAAAATCTTCTGGTTGTGTGAATCAACTGTCAACATTTGTGTTTACAACTGAGCAGGTGCCATGAGTGATCAATAGCCCTTTTTAAAAATGTAGATACACTTCAAATACTAGATTGGGTTTTCTTTCTATTTCCCTTCACAGTTATGATTCAGATTTCAGTATTTTTCCAGGTGTATTTGAAGATTCCACAACGGTTGCTACAGACTGTGTGTTGATATGGTTTGTTCTTTCTCTACCTTTGTAATTTGGACCGATGACATAATTATGTCCAAAACTGGGGCAGTGTGTTTATATCTTAACATATATTCTCTCATACCAGCTCACAAAGTTGCTCACAAATCTAAGTAAATACAGCACTTAGTTGACAGTTACGCCTCTTGTTCACATGAATCACTTAATGTATGTCAATATATTACATTAATTCAGGAGCTTTTACTTAATATAAAACAATGTGAGGAATGTGTTAGATCATAACCACTTTCTACCTTTTTTGGTAGATCATTTGTAAACAGCTGGAAACTACTTCAGTGCCTTTTCTATTATAATAAGATCACTTTCATGGGGTGGTTCATGTTCTCTAATATTTGGGTGTCCTCATGCTTATCAATCTAACAAAGCAAAGAGACACTAATACGATATTTGAATTATTATGGGGTAACTTCTATGCACTTCCAACTGGTGTTTGTTTAGAACAAAAGTATTCTATTATAGTAGTATTCAATTATGTTCCCTAGAAAGTTTTCCCTAACAAATTCCAGTAAACTATTGTGTAGCATCCTTTTGTCAGCTTTTGAACTGGCAATTTTAGAGGCATTATAAAGGAATTTGTAAGAGGAAAGAAAAATGTTGTTCGGTTAAGGGAAAAATAGCTAAGTGATTATTCAGCAGGGCCTGGAAATTGTTGTCACTCACTTAAAAGAACAGAGAAAAACAATGGGGTTTCCACAATACCAGTGTTTCTCAACCTTGGCAACCTTAAAAAGTGTGAACTTCAACTCCCAGAATTCTGGAAGTTGAAGTCCACACGTTTTAAAGTTGTACTAAGTATAAAAACCTCAGTATAAAAAACTGCTAAGTTAAAAGAACATTTTCGGATTCAGAAACTAAGCGTTGTCTTTTTCCTAGGTAATTTGTTAGATTTGATTCAATTGTGTTTACAGGTTCTCAGTATGACTTGAATTAACAATAGTGAAGTCTGTCATAGAAATAGCAGTTTTGTGTCAGTGTCAAAGAAATACTATATAAATAGGTACATGAATACTTTGCCAGATTAGGTTTTATTTATTATTCTGTATGCCATTTTGTTGAACTTGTAAGCAATGCATTACTTTTTAAAATCACTGCATTTGAAACTTCTGAACTCAGGAGGCATGTGACCCAGAAATATTTGTGAAGGAATGAGAAATCATGTGCCCAGTACAAACTCTGCCCTTATATACTTTGGGATGTCATGATGCAAGCACAAAATATTGACACTTGTGTCATTATGTCGTGAAACACGTTATTGTTTTGGCATCATCAAAGTTAGGAACAGATTCCAACTAATAATGTCATAGGTATCAATTTGCACCTTCAACCATTTTTAAACATACTTTATCCATTGTACAGAATGGCTGTTTTTCTCAATCAATATAAGCAATCAGATTTCTTTTAAATTCTGAAAATTGCAAATTGGAGATGACTTTCCAAAATAAAACAGCTTAATAGACATGCCTTTTGCATGTTAGGGATAAAGACTGTTTGACTGTATATATGTATAGTATAATATGGATAGTATGTATTTTAAAAAGATTAAAACTAATAGCTAGTTGAACACTTGGAACATTAAATATCTGAGAATGCATTATAGGTGCAGCCTGAATGGGACTTCTCATTTTCTATAATGGACACCATGGGAAGGAAAATGTGCATCCGAATGCAGCTATTCATAAAACATCAATTTAACAAAGAGCAACAGGGACTAATTCCTTTTACCACACTGTGTTGTTCCTACTATTCAAGTTGACTTTTACGGTTTTTATGGATGGATAGACATGCTTCAGAACAAAGCATTGGCCTATAGTCACACACCCATTTTTATTTTCTGAGAATACCTGTAAGACTACCTATTGGACTCGGAGAAATTTCTTTGGAAATAAATCATGCTTTCTTTTAAAACAAAACACACACATATAGTCAGATGGGGCAAAGAATCTACTAAATACCAAGGTAGGAATCCATAGACAGATTGGCTTCTTCCCTCCATTGGAATGATTTAAACATTGTCAAGTTTGAACTGGACAGATCCCTTTCACCCTGTACATATATGGGGTAGAGGAAATGCATGCTATAACTTCAACATAATGGCAGTCAAAAAATAACTTCTGAAGTAATCTTTAATCAACTTTTAATGTCCAAACACTGGTTTGGCTTGCTTATTTATTTATTCATTTAAGAAATATCCATTTTATCTTCTCCCAAATGGTTTTAGATAGCTTACAAGGCAGTCATTATTTCTAAATGTCATGAAAATCTTCCTGCAATGTGTGGCATGTACAGAGAGGTTAGAAGAAACATGTTAATATGGAAGAGATAAAAATGTTTGAGTCTCTCCGATTACTTGAAGAGAGTTTTGCTTGAGTTGCAATCCATTCACTAGGTATCATGCATATCAAAGAAAATTCTAAATGCTTATAGCATTTTGCTCTAACAAGTTGGTATGGGCTTTTAGCTCCTGCCCTTAATCAGTATTCATAATCAGTATTATTACTTGTTACTTTTTAAACAAAGTATAGCTTGACAGTCACATTCTAGCTTTTCAATTTGGGTGATTTCAGTTTTGTTTTCTTTGACATATTTAGGTACATGGTTTGACTTTTCTAGAAATTATCACAAATTATACCTTATTATTTATGCCACTTTTCCCTCTGTGAAGAAATACCTAGCCTAGCACACTGTATTAATGCACATTTAAAATTGTATACACATTTAAAATCTTTCAGCTGTTCTTTATTGATTGAGGCACTTACTAGGACATCTTGGCTGGGATAACTAACATTTGTTTAGAATGTTAAGAAGGATGTTACTATCCTCCAAATAAAAGCTTCAGGGCAAACATGTATTTGTAAGCAGTGTTACAATTTAGAAGTAGTTTTGGTTTATATGTATATAACATTAAAGAATAGAATCTTGTTCTGACAAGTTAAAATGTTTTAGAAAAACCAAGCTATTACTATTACAAAAACTTGATCTAAAACCATGAAACTACTAGATGACACCTACCAGCTGCCAGCCCTAGCTATGGCAGCAATTAATTGAGAATCAATTGACACCTTAACACATTGCACTAAACCACATATAGTTAGTTTGGCTTTGGCTTCATTTGCATGAACTAGTCATCATAGCTTATACAATAAACTATGGTGAAGCAATATGTGCCCTTGCCATCCAAATTTCTTTGTGCTGCTATTACTCTTCACTAAGGCATTACTGATAGAGAAAACTTTTTGATAAGGATGACATACATATTATTTTGTGGTTTAGAATCTTGGTTTTGACTTTGATGCCTTTTAAGTTGAGACAGCCTTATAGCTAAATTCCAGAAAGTTGTAATGTATATATTAGCATTCCATGTAACTTGTATCTGTAGCTTCTAACTTTTTAGATGATACATATAGAAATACTTATTTTTGCTACTTATTTTAACAAATAGTATTCTTTTTTCCCTTTTAATTCTCTCTAGAATAGTCATCAATAATGATGATGTTAGCACTGGACCTTACTTCCATTTCCTGATTTTTTTAATGTATCTTTTTTTGTTAATATTTTGCTATGTTTTTTTTAAGATGCAGTGATTAAATTATTATAATTTTAGGTATGGTATGCCATACTGGGCAATAAATGTGCTGGTATCTCTTGAACTTTGGTCTTCCTTAAATCTCGAAATACCCTTGCTATGATATTACCTGATTCATATACACTGGCTACATTCATCACATTCATCAGGAGCAAACCATGCTTGCCTTGTTATGGGAAATGTGAGTCTGGCTTATACATAATAGTACAGAAATTCGATTGTTAAGGTAGAAAGAACAAAAGGACTAAAAAGGAACATTCCCTGCAGTCAAAAAATTTCTGCATTATCATAATTTGTAGGTGGGCTGATGATAGAATTAAAACTTAAATTCTAATTCATGTTTATTAACATGTTTTAAATGATCTGTGTGGAAAGCATTATACTACAATCAAGTACAATCTTAAAGCATTTCATTATAAAGTATAATGATTTACCAAAGACGCTTTAATTCTCTTGAGTAGTATGTTCCATAATTTATGTATGTAACACCTGATACAGTTCTATACAAACACTTAGGCTCTCATAGTCAAATTGTATATTTCATTGAATTCTGAAGTGACCAGAAACTAGCATAACCTGTACATGATATAAACATTTTTTCTGCCAATTTGAATATATTGATTATTCAAATCAATGTTTACTCTTCTATTAAAATATGCATAAAAGTGCCATGTTTAACTGTTACTATAAGAACCTATGTTCACTTGTAAACAATTTTATAAGGTTAAATTTGTTTACTTAGGAATTCATTGAAACATAATTTACTGGGTGGGGGGAAGCGCTAAATTTTTGCAGAATTCATAAGAAGCTTTATAAAGACTAGAAATTCATGCTAATTCCCTTGCAGGATAAGATTCAGAATGGTGAACCAAAGAAATTTAAAAGAATGAGAAAAAAAAACCAGAACTATATGAACTTTATACCAGCACCATCCATTATATTTGTCTGTACCTTTCAACCCTTACAGAAAATGCTGTGTTTATCATGTTCACGCATTGTTCTACCAGCATTTGCAGTGTAAGAATGTTTCCATTTCTCACATTTTCTACCAATGTATCTAAATTCATAACTCAGTTTTTCACCATTTATATATAAATATTCACCTCCTTTTTGTTGTCAAACTACTTTGAATACTATTTGATATACCCATGTTTTCCTGAAGATAAGACTGGGTCGTATTTTCTTTTGGGCCCCAAAATAAGCACTAGGGCTTATTTTCAGGGGGGGTCTTATTTCTTTCCATGTACGGGAGGCCCACTTCTATTTGTTTGTGGTGAGGCAGGAGGCCACACACTGCACCAATGCCACCACTGTGAGGCAGGGGGGTGGGGCTGCTCCAGGTGCCCCACACCGGCTTATCTCAAGGCCCCCACAGCCAGGTCTCATATGCCCTGATACTTGTCTCACCTCGCGGCTGTGACATGAGCATACCACTCCTGCTTTGTTGTGGCTGCAAGTGGGATCCTGCTGCACATAGTTTCTGCTGCTGTTGCCATGAGGCAGTTGTCAGGGTGTGGATGGCCTGGCTGCTGGTGCCCTGAGGTAAGCCAGTGTGAGGCACATGGGGCATTCCCCCGCCTCGTGGCTGTGGCACCGTGAGCAACTAGACAGAATGGGCGGCTGGGCAGCTGCGCAAGCTCTTAATTAGAGCTTATTTGGGGGGGGGGGTAGAGCTTATATTAGGTGTACATGCATAAAAACATGCAAGGTCTTATTTTTGGGATAGGTCTTATTTATATATTTGTCATTGTTTCACACAATCTAAAATTCACTGCAAATCTTTCAAGTTCTCAGCCAACAGCATTGGACTACTTCCATACAAAAGTACATTTATATTGATTCCCATTGATGTACTCTAGCTTCACTACAAACCATTCTTCCACAAAAATATTAAACAATCAGTTAATGTAGTTTCTGTTTCATTCCTTAGTCAGTAATTAAACACTTGGTAAACGTTAGAGTTATTCTTATACATGGCTGACTTTTATCATCTACAGTATTCTGTCACATTCAACAATTAACTTTCAAATACAAACTAAGGGATTCATATTTGCATTAACATCCATAAAAACATTTGTGAGACAAATTCGTACTTTCTGATATATAGTTTGATTTACACCTTCACCTCTCTGTATGCATTGTTTAAGAGTTACCATGGATGAGGCAGGAACCTGCATTACTCCAACTAAATAAAACAGTATATAAACCCAGAGCAGGTATATTCCAGGCTCAAGGTAGAGCAGAAAAAGGCCATTAATCTGACAGGACAGGGTGAAATGCTTAATATTTAAACATTGGCTTGATTATTTTGTTATGCATTATTTATCATACGGAGCTTCCATGCAGAGGGACCCTAAGATTCTTACATCTCTTTCTTTTAGTAAGATGAAAATTACATAGCAATGTCACAAAAGGACAACTCTTAATAAAATTACAAGAAAAAGGTGGCCACCAAAGAATGACAAAAAACACAATCTAGAGTGGAGGCCTCCGCTTCATACCAGCTGCCCCCCACAAGTTTTTACAACTTTAGTAAAAATCATTTCGATGGAGGCTAACTTAATCTCAGGAGGCAATCCTTTCCAAATTAGGAGTTGCAACTGAAAAAAATCAATTCTTTGAATCCTGTAGATGCTAGTCCTTAAGATAAGAAATCTTCTCCTATTTTACTTGAACTTATTGGATGAACAGAAGCTATTGGGAGTAGGTGGTCCTGAAAATGTCTAAGTCCTGAGCCATTAAGTACTTTACATTGCAAATAGCATTTTGAATTGCACTTTTGAAACCAGGTGGCAGCCAATGCAACTTTCAAACTAGATGCATAATTTAAAAGAACTTTGGCACTCTCGTAACAGAATACAAGTAGTTGTATTCTGAACTAGCTTAAGCTGCTGAATAGTCTTCTGGGGTAGACCTAATTGCAATAACCCAAATAGGGTATGTAAAACACGAGTCACAATAAACAGAACCTCCAGTTCCAAGAATGGTTGTAGTTGGCATATTATGATTGACCTGTCTGCAGTAATTTATCAGAATGAAATCTTTGCAGTTTTTGCTATTATCATGTGTGGCTAAGTTGCTGTAACAATTGATGATATAAGCATCAGCTTTACTCCACAAAGACAGGCTATTTTCATTCAGGTCTATTAGTCCTCAACATGCCTTTTTCCCCCTTTCATTTATTAATTCATGGTCTTTATCATTTACTCCTTTTACATCTCAAGTTCCAATCTTCTACATACCACATTTATATTCCATTGGAAATGATTCAAGAAATGGCATTAGTAAATAGTGCTTTATTGATTTAGAGCTACTCGAGAGTTATTTATTTTGCAAGATATCTATAGTATATACCATCTCCACTGACAGACTCTTAAACAAGATACAGGCTGCAATGTGAAATACACTGGAATAGTCTTCAGTTGTTAATTCTGTGACAAGAATTAAAATTAACACATGCACAATTGTTCTGAAAATGCCTCTTAAGCCTCTCACTACCCCAAATATCTTTTCAAAAACTGTTTTGGTTGCTGATTGTGTGGCTGTGAAAGAGAAAATTGCTTGATTTCATATACAGTGAAACATAATTTTAATGAATTAACTGGGAGTAACTGCCAATTATTCAAGAATTTCTATTGAATCAGAATGGAGCACAGCAACATTTGAATAAATAATGCAAACTGATGAAAAGTATGCTGCTTGTGTGATATTATTAAACAAATAAATTGAAGAAATTTGTTAAGCTGTACGTGTACTCTAATGTTCAGGTAAAAAATTTGGTAAAATGAGATTTCGCTGGATGACATTGGTTATAGTAATAGCCTGGATTAATCATGAATATAATTCTATTGAAAATAAAATAAAAATAAAAGATGAAAAGACTAGATTAAAATGAAAAAGGATGGACTACTTTAATATTCTTAAAGCAGACTTTAAATATGGCAGAGATGTTTGGAGAGTCAAATTTACATATGCTGATAATCTGTATCTCTCACTACGTTTGGGAGTGCTTAAATTCCTGCTTGAGAAGAGCATTTTAATCCTTTGGAGTACAAATTAAACACTGTATAAGTTATTAGGGGAAAATAATCTTATAAATATTTTTTAGAAATACTAAGTAGGAAATTTAACACAATGACATGCCATTCCCATGTGTATTTGCCTAACCATTATTGCTTAATGCTATTTTAGCAGCATTTATTAAAAATTTACCAACATTTTCCACACAATTTGTAACAGGAAACTATGACCAATCTTGGCTTCTGGGTACATGTATTTGTATAGTGTGTGAATTTGCAAACAACTATTTGTTAAAATGTATATCCATTTACATGTAAATTACTCGTACACATCTTCTAAAAGGTTTATAAAACTAAAGATGTCAGCAGAAGGTAATTTCTTTTTAAAAGATGTATTTGCTTTTGGGAAAACAGTTTTTACAGTATGTGGAGTCCAATAACTAGAAGACTAATTTGATCCTTCTTTTACATGTTGTGTAATGTTGAGGATGAGATAGTGATGAAATAACATGCTTTAAATTAATATGTGAACACAAACAGTGGAATAGATGGGGACATGTGAATGTTATAGGCTTACTGCTTAAATGCCATTGTGTTGCAATAGAGTTAGAACAAACAAATTTAAAAAGGACTATTTTATTAGCTTTCAAAATAATGTGTATATAGATTTGTTAAATGCTCAGTAACTTTAGCTTTGCTTTAAAAAATAGATATAGGAATGTTGTATTTGCCCCTTAAACTAGCAAATTAGCAAAAGCTATTTATTAAGATTTCTGACAATCTTATTTGTTAATCTGTAATGTTTTAAAATAAAAAAAAGACATTTCTAACTCGACTATTAGACTTTTTTTTTAGCCTATTTGGTTGATGAGAAATCCTATGTATAGAAATTAACAAACATTCCTTTGTTTTATTTCCTTCATAGAACTTAACATTGTAATAGCACAATACATGTCATATTAATTCAGAGTATCTATAAGAAGAGAATTCAGTGGTTTATTTTGGTTGAGGTATCATTCTGAATCAGAAGACAAGAAGTGAAACA